GCGGGGGGGGACGGGGGGTCTCGTTGCACCCCCCCGGGCTCTGGCGGGGGTGTCGGGGCTGAGACAGGCCTCCGGCCCCCGGGCGGGGGGAGTTTTTTGGGCGTGTGGTGCTGATGCCCCCCTTGTGGGCGGGAGGTGGGGAAGGAAGGGGGTGGAGGGGGAGCTGGGACAGAGGCCGAGAGGCGTCCACTGACCGACCTGGGACTTTTCAGCTGGTTGCTTCATGTCTGTGACGCCTCCTGTCTGGCTGCTGAGTAAGGTCAAGAAAAACCATAGACTTGCACAAGGGAGGCATTGAGACCTCGGGGAGGCGGGCCACACGGTAGCCCCGCCCCTTCACCGAGAGCCACTAGCATCTCTTTTATTTGTTTTCCCCTGCCTGATCTGCTGCTCTGCTTTCTGCTCCCCGCCCAATCCACTGCTCTGCTTCCTGCGCTGTCCGCCGCTGCGATGCTTGGACTCTTCTCCGGTCTGCCCCGTGCCGCACACAGCACTTGTGCCACCACTGATCTAGTCCAGCATTTCTCACCCCAGGGGTCGCGACCCAAACGTGGGTCACGAGAAAACATGGAAGGAAGGGTCGTGGACAGACTTTCAAAATGCCTTGTCCTTTAAAGGAGAAGAGTGTGGGAAACGGTGGCTTTTCCCTCGCAGGCTGGCAGAGTTCCCACCTGCAAGGGGCTGTTTCGGGCCCCTCCGTGCCCCACACACCCACCCTCTGCCCCACACGCTGGGGCAGGGGCAGCAGGTCAGGACTGGTCACTGATGTTTATAAGTGGGTCCTAGTGCAAAAAAAAGTTGAGAACCACTGATCTAGTCCATCCCCCTGACCCAACTATTACACCTTTTTTCTTTTTAAGGTGAATATAGGGCAGGAGCGGGCAATTATTTCGGGCGGAGGGCCACTTACTGAGTTTTGGCAAGCCATCGAGGGCCACATGACAGGCAGCCAGGGGCAGATAAATATTAATTTTCTTAATTTTTTAGGGGCCCCGCGGGCCAGATAGAATGGCCTGGTGAACTGTCATAGTAGTGGGTCTTTTTCCTGGCCCTAGGGGCCCATAATATTCTAGCAAATCAGCTTGTGAACTGAAAGCAGATTTCACCTTTTGAGAAGTATTGTTGTATGCATAAAGAGTGCATGACAAGGCAGATGACATTCATCTCCTGTTTGAAAAACTTCAAAACTTTTATAGTCTTGGTCTTAGTTGATAGACTTGAAGGCTTGTTCAAGCATAAACATAGCTGCAGTGTCTTATGAACTGTTCCAATGCAAGCTGAAATTTTGTGGGTGTATGTAGTTGAAGCAATGTATAACAAGTTTTTCACCTTGGGCATCCATTGGTTTCACCCACTCAAATCTCTCTTTTTCAAGTCTTAGAGTGGTTTGATTGTACAGTCATCCAGTTAGTTTTATCCAGTTCAGCTTGGTATGACTGAAATTTCAAGACCCTGGAAGTCACTGTAAATAAAATAGCAAACAATATTTAAATAACCAGTACTAAGGCCCACAGAGCATGTGGCCTCCTCCTGCTATCGCCTCTAAGAAATGTATATATCGTATTTTGTATGTCAAGAGTACAAATCAAAAGGATCTAAAACATTTATACTACTTGTTTTAGAAGCTTAAAGAATGGAGGGAATACTTTAAGGAAAACTTTCACCAACATACCTTGTGTTGTCATCCAATGTGAAAGTCAAAGTAAAAGCACCATTTCATTGTCTGCTACTGGTATAGCTTTAATTGAAAGATAAATTACAATATTTAATAGTAAAATAAATTATTTAAAATCATTTCTAATGTAAGGCAGGTGAGATTTTTAGATTTACATGAATGAATCCTTAGACTCTCTTAACCTTGGCCTGCTTTACTGGAATTGTTTACATTAAAAGATTACTTCACTTTTTTGATTCAAGATGAAGTAAAACTAATGTCCTTGAGAAAAGAAATAAAAATGAGCATTTCCCACGAAGGGGTCAGTACACGTGGGAATTTGGCCAGGCTCATGAGCTGAATTTAAGATTTACATGGTTCTATGGTTGTATTCATTCAGTACTGAACATAATGAAAACATGGTCAGATCTAAAGACCATTGCAGTTACTGTCACTTATTTCCAAGGTTCGTGCATCTGAATAAATTGTCCTATTTGTATTGGAAGCTATTTTGATTATTCTTTCCCCAGTTTTCAAAACCTGTTCAACATAACTTCTCTTCTTTTTTTCTTCAGGTGAGGAAAACTTAATCCTGTTAGCTGGCCGACATGAATTTCCATTCAGCTTTCAACTCCCACAAGAGTAAGTGAAATAATGCAACCTGGAATTATATGTTTTGTTGGTTCTTGAAAAATAAGCAGAATAAACTGGTGCAACTTGATCATTAGTTTTGATTCTTCTACATCAGTCTGACAAACTAGCCTGTATGTTTACGCTGAGCGGTGGCAAGGATGCCTCTTGTATTGCTTTGATTTCCCCAGAGGACATAAATGTACTAGATGCAAGATGATAAACATCTGTGTGTACAGAAAGTGTTTAAGTTTGGAATTCTAATATAAACTCATTGCCTACGTGAATGTTTTTGTGACTGTTTCAGACCTTTGGTGACCTCTTTTACTGGGAAGTATGGCAGCATTCAGTACTGTGTAAAAGCAGTTCTGGAAAGGCCTGTAGCACCTGATCAGAGTGTCGAGAGAGAACTTCAGGTCATCAGCCATATTGATGTCAGCTCACCAGCTTTATTGGTAAGAGCATTTTATGTTTATTTAATTGAATTAAATCTATTTTTAAGAAGCCTTCTCATGCATCCATAACCACTTTACTGGTATTTTGGTGTCTCATTTTGTTGATTTCTGAAAGCATATAAGCTTCCTGTTAAGCTTTCTCTATAAATAGATGATCTTGGGCTATGTGAATTGCAAACATAGTTGCTTTTTTAATAGAATTGATTATATCCCTGCTGGCAGGGCTGCTATTGCCAAAAAGTTATGCAGGCTTGAAATGCATTAATAAGGCTTAATAATAATAATGCTGAAGCATAAAGTAGTTACTCTTACCAGAGCAACTATTTTCACAGGGCTGCAGTGTCCTAAACTCTTCAGTAATAGTAGGTTGAGGAACAGTAATTATAGAAGAGTATTAATCATGCTCTAGGCTGTTATTTAAGCCCTGGCCATTATGTTATGTATCCTTCCATTTTGCATGTCATTTTCTAACATTAAGTCCATGCGTGCAGCTGCTTCAGAGATCTTTTCAGTTATTTCCTTATGACAGATTTGGCCACATTAAAGCATTGAACTTCTAATAATCACTAGAAATACTGTGGAGTAATAAGAAAGATCAGACTATAAGTAACAACAGAATGGGCAAGATGGAAGCTAATGAGCTAGATTCTTTTATCTAAACCCATATTATCAAAATAATATAAAATTATACCTTGCACTTTCATGATAGTAACTAGGACCTAATGGCTATTCATTTAAATATGAATGAATGATTTCTGCTTTATTGAAGTGCTTGGATAATTTTAACTTTCCATCATAATGCTGATGTGGCTAAGATGTAGGTTTTGGCATTAGATGATCATTTTTCTTCTAATAGAGTTGCATACTTTTTGTTTCGTGTTTCTTTAAAATTTAGAGCTAGAACTTTATGTAAATGTTTTGGCAGTGACATCTGTAAAGAGCAGATGGTCCTTATGTTACACACAGCTTCAGAAAATAGGTAATATTAACCATACTGTATTTGCACAATATTGAATACATAAAGACTCTTGTATTTTGTTGTTGGGACTGGACAAGACTTAACAGTTCCTTCTAAAAATATTCAGTTTTGTAATCCCCTAATATAATTTTTAATGTAAGTTTATTAAGCTAGACTATGGAGAATGGCTTGTTCAGCATGCGTATAAAGTTAAATACTTTGCAGAAATACATTAAAACTATCTTCTGCCATCTTTAGAACTACGTCCTCATCTTCTTACTATTGTATAAAAAAGGCAAGAAACAATGTTTTCAAAAATGTTCTGGATAAGAATAGCATATGTTACTTTAGGAGTCCACTCATCCTTGACTTGTCACTTGAACACTTGATTTATTCAAAGTGTTAATTATTGATGATAAACATAAATTGTAGTTTTATTTGGCCATAAAAATACTCAAACCCTGCACTGTGACTGAAGTTTCCTTTATTCTTGAGTCTTCCAGGAAGACCAAATCAAAGAGCAGTCTAATGGGGGGAACAATCAGAAAGTTTCTTACCAACAAATATTTCAGGCCTTTTTCTTATATCATAAAGAAGCAAAAAGGGCAAAGCTAGTTTTATCTCTTTACAGTTCATTGTCTAAGCAATAGTCAAAAAGACCAGTTTACCCCATGGTATATGGTCTCTTAACTGAGCATTTGTAGTGACAGTACATACTTATCACTTTGTGTTGAGGGTGTTTGTTTCACCGCAGAACTTTGATTCTGGAGAACAGGAACTTGGGTGTCTAGGGCTCTGGGTTGTAACTTAGCCCACTCCAGTAGAATGTTGTGTCCATCCAAAAGCAGCTTTTGAAACCAGTGAACCTGTGCTTGTCCTGAACAAATTGCAAGATTTGAGCTATGTATCTTCAACAATAACTGCCTGCTGTATGTTGGAGAGAAGCTTCCACATTGCGACCAAAGCTGCATTGCAATCTGTTGAATATCATAGTTCTTCATTTTACTGTTACTCAAAGAAGGGAAAACGGGGTTTGTGACCATTGGGTCCACACACTGCATAGTTATCCTGGCTGCTGCTAGCTTTAGGCTTGTGGTAGTGACAGTGAATGAACTATAGGTAGATAGTAAAAGCCTTGGGTTCTGACTAGGCAACTTGGTGAACTAGGACTCTTGTAGCCTGGATCTGTTTACTTTAGTTGAATTTTGCAAATTTGGTCTGAGTTCCTGGAGCTTTGCATAGACCACGTGAAAGTCGCTTACAGTGACTGCTAACTTGGTGGTTCAGTTGTTTTCATAATTTTAAGTGTAAATGTTAATTTTGTCTTATATGATTTGACTTAATATGGCAAACCTGCTAAAGAAGCTCATCACTTCATGCACAAAATATGCTCATTTCCACACACACACCCTTTTCCCTTACCATGATGGATGGTATCTAGGAAGTAGATGGTATTTTATCTAGCAACTAAATAGCTGCCTGCTCCAGATGAATGGGCAAAGCAAACTCTACAAGGCTTCGTTAACTGCTTGCATATTCCTGCAACCAACTGAAGTCTGTTTGCATTAATCTGAATATTACAATGAAGTAATGTGGCAATTTTTGATACAAGCTAGATAAAGAGAATTCTATGAGATGTTGTTGGGGTTTTTTTTTAGATGCCTGTTTTGAGAAGCCGGGAGAAGATGGTTGGGTGCTGGCTTTTCACTTCTGGCCCAGTGTCTCTGAGTGCCAAAATTGAGAGGAAGGGATACTGTAATGGTAAGAACTTTTTCTTACAACTTGATTTACTTGTTTCTTAGATGGCAAGTAAGAGTTTTTTGTGATCTGTGCAACCCAGAAACTATGTAAGCCTAGTGTGAGATGGCTGGAGAAATAGTTGTGTAACTTAGAAGTTAGTAAAATCAGATCTGTGTAAAATTGAGTTAAAAGATATCTTCTGTTAGTAATACAAATTGAAAACTAGTAGTATTATGCAGTGTTGTTACCAAAAAAGACATCCACATCTGAGCTGCTGTGGATGTCAACGGCCAAAGAATAATGCTCTTCACTAAGATCCACTGTTTAATATTGGCCTTTTTCTATAGAAGTTCTAGAGGAATGTGCTGTGAAATGTACAAGTGTACAGTATACGAACATTTTTGATGACTCTTTGTGGGTTCTGGTCCCACAGTAATTACTATGGTGATAATTCTGGAAGCGCACATGTTCCATCATAATTAGAGAACACCTATACTATATTTAGCAAATGCATGTTTGTAACTTGTCTGTCAAAAACATCTGTATGAACAATCATGAAACATTAATATGTAGTATAAGGCTATATCCTGCACCAGTATGCAAAGAAATTGTTTGGCAGGAGTTGACACAATTAATATAAAATTAGTAATAACATGGCATGTGATGTAGCGATCTTAAAGTTTTATAGGTACGCTCAGAGCAAAGGTACTAGATGCATACAAAATATTCATAGGACTCCTTTTCTTTTTTTTCTTTTTAATTTTTAGGAGAAGCAATACCAATCTATGCAGAAATTGAAAACTGTTCCTCTCGTCTGGTTGTTCCAAAAGCTGCCATTTTTCAAACACAGACTTATTTGGCCAGTGGAAAGACAAAGACTTTCCGTCAGATGGTTGCCAATGTGCGAGGAAACCATATCGCCTCTGGGAGCACAGATACCTGGAATGGGAAAACTTTGAAAATCCCTCCTGTAACCCCTTCCATACTTGATTGCTGTATCATCAGAGTAGAGTATACTTTAGCTGTAAGTGCAGGTTTTCATCACAAATATACTTATTTTTGAGCACTAAATTTATCATCAGAATTTCATTAGTACTTAACAAGTTTAAGCTTGATAAAGTGTAACATTGCATCTTGGCTTTATCTGAAGAGAAGTCTTAAATGCTTGCAGAGTGCAAATATGTAACTGATGACCTATAAAAGTTGGAATAGAAACTAAGCTATTTTCAACATGATGTGTCCAGTCAGGCACGGAAAGTTCGTGGAACAAATAGGAGGTGGTTGGTGTTAGTATCAAAAAGGACACACGGTGATCAAAATGACTGGGATTGGAGATTGGCATGGAAGAGCTTTTTGTTTTGAGACAGAGCTCCTATGTAAAGGAGGGGAAAACATGCAGATTGTGTTGCTATCCTGTGGTATGGGAGGAGAAAGATTGAAGATAATTCCTAAGCTATAAGGCTGAATAACAGAAGTAATGGTGAGGAGGAAAATGGAGAGTGTTTAGGGGAAGTTTTACATGTTTAAAGACAAGCTTATCTGGAGAAAATTTCAGGCTGAAATGCATGCCTGGATGGATGGTGACACTGCAGAAGTGATAAGGAAGACCTGAAAGTCTTCCATGTAAAGATGCTGGTCAAAACAGCAAGCAAAGCAAGAGAAGGTCATTCAAAGACAAGGGGCCTGATCCTACCACACATTAGCTGCTTAAATGTGTTCCTATTCTATCCTATTGAAGTCTCTGAAAATCTGTTTGTGCGTCTTTTTTCATAATATGCTATGTTCTTAGCCTTAAAACCAAGCTATAAAAAACAGAAAGGAGGAGAAGGTTCCACCTGCCTTTTACATTAAGTTTTTCAGGGACTCAAGAAGGGTGGAATGAGCTTACACTAAAGTGCCTACTATCTCCACTTTTGGTGCTTTACAGGTAGAGAAAGATGTGGGCCAAAATGCAGAAAGAAAATATGGTTTTGAGATTTACCAAAGATGCAAAGTGCTAGCCATATTCATCTGGAATCACTAAATTTCTTAATATCTTTAAGTTGGCTTACGCTACAGGAGTTCTACTGGCTTCTGTGAACTACAGTTCTGTTGAATTTTTGTGACTTGTCTAAATCTGTTGTATTTGGGGGGTGGTTTATCACATAGGTATATATCCATATTCCTGGTGCTAAGAAACTGATGATTGAAATGCCCTTGGTGATTGGCACAATTCCCTGCACTGGGTTTTCAAGCAGGAACTCCAGCGTTACCAGCCAGTTCAGTATGGACATGAGTTGGCTGGCGCTGACCATGCCAGAACGCCCTGAAGGTAAACATTTTGAGCTTTTTTCATCATTTGGATAAATTGTGTGTACTACAGAAGCAGGGAAGTTGTGCCAGTTCAAGAGCTAAATCCAATAAAAGATTTAGGCCGCTAAAGTAGTATTTAGACCCATGTCCAAATTTGCCATCCAAACTATTGCAGATCATTAGCGCAAGAGGGAGCATAACTAGGTAGCTGAAAAGTATTCAAGGACCAAACCACAGTAAATTAGTCTTATGCTCACATACATACACACACACACACACACACACACACACACACGTCTCCCCTCAAATATTGAACTTGGTCTCCCACCTCTTAGTAGTGAGCAAATGTCTTCCACTTCCTAGTAGTGAACAAATGTTTCACTGCTAGGGTAGTAGATGAAAGGTGGACAGCTTTAAGCTACAGGGAGTATTCCTCATTCTTTTGAAGGTAGAATAGTAAACATTAGGGCTGTGCAAAATGGCTGTGTTTCTATTCGGTTTCGGATTCAGCTGTTTTGGAGGACAGCGATTCGTTTCAGTGTTTTGGATCATTGTCCTGTTTTGTTTTGGCCGAATCTCCTCTGAATCTTTTTTGAACAGGCTGCAATGCAAGCTTTGCACAGCCCTACCCAGCCAGGTGAGGCAGGGGGCTTGGGGCCCCAGCAGGGAGCAGGACAGGGCCAGGGGTGGCTCGTCTAGGGGAGGGGCAAGGCCGCTGCCCACCATGCAGGCAAGAAGACCCCCACGCAGATCTCTGATCCCTGTCGCATTGGATCGCGGGGCAGGGAAGCAGCTCAGAGCTGCGAGCAAGTCTACTGGTCCCTGCCATGTGACTCGGCTACGCAGGGAGCTGAGATCTGCACCAGGGGTCTCCTCACTGCCACTGCCCACCCCACGCTGCCCCAGATCTCTGCTTCCTGTGGAGCCAGGTCTCATGGCAGGGCAGCAGTGTACAGCTGTTTAAACCTGGCTCCGAAATGCCGAAATTTTCTGAAACGTTTTGGATGCCTCATTTCATTTCGGAGATGTTCCTGAGCCTTCCGTTTCAATTTGGATTTGGTGTTTCGGGCACAGAAACAGCCTGAAAAACTTCTGAAACTAAATGGCTGCTGAAATTTTGTACAGCCCTAGTAAACATCTACCCTAGAGGTGTCCTGTATCTTGGCTCTACCTGGCATTCTCCTGAGCTGAAAGATGTTTTTCTGTTTTTTGGATCTCCCTTCTGAAGGAAATCATTTGAGTTTCTGGATTCCATTTTGAGGTCAGGTGCCTAAAAAATTAAGTACATCAGCACAAACTTGAATCTGCCAGAAAATAATTGAATTTTGTAACATGCTCCTAATAAATGACATACCCCATGCCTTTCTTATTGTGGTATTTAAATCAGGGGTATCAAACATCCAACCCTTTGGGCTGCTGGACATTGTGGCCTGCCATGGAATCCAGGGCACCATCACCTCTTGCACACTTCCACCACAGCAAGTGGCTTTGTAGCCCACAGTCACTTGCCCCACTGCAGCTGCTACTGCAGAGTCACAGAGGCTACCCCATTTGCCAGTCCAGATCCTGCTCACAAGCAACTTAGTAGTCCAGCTCTGGCCCTGGAGCCCGGGTGAATCTGATACCTCTGATTTAAATAATATATTCAGTAATGGTAGAATTTTTCATAGTTTTCTGTTTGTGGTATAATGTTCTTGGGGACTGTGGGCAAACACAGTCTGGAAAGTTGTGACTAGTTGAACAAGCTGATTATGTAACAGCAATCTCTTGCTTTCAGCACCACCAAATTATGCTGACGTAGTGTCGGAGGAAGAATGCTCTAGACATGTTCCAGCTTATCCACAACCAATAGACTGTGAGGAGCAACTATCCTGTCCCATGTTCGCTTATATACAGGAGTTTCGGTTTCAGCCTCCGCCTCTCTATTCAGAGGTAAAAAGAAAATCTATTAGGCTTTTAAATATATTTTTCAAAATATTCTGTAAATGCAAGGATTGGAAGAAGTTAATCGTTCTGATTTTTTTTTTCCTTTCCTTTTGGCAGATTGATCCACATCCTACTGATGTAGAAGAAATCCAGCCTGTTTCTTTCACGCTCTAAAGAGAATTTGAAATAAGCTTTATTGTGATGGAATAGAAGGTTTTATCTTTCTGCTGCTTCAGCTGATAGTCAAGCTAAAAAGAAACTGTTCACTGAAACTACATTTTTGAATAAGGAAGAATGGAAGTGCGAAGGCAGGAGTTGGAAGTTGAGCATGCTAAGCGGCTGGAAACGATTGGTCTGTGTCTGCCTACATAGAGGACGTTGTGCACCTCATTGTGACAAAGTGTGAGCAGCCAGTTCGGGATGTCAGAGAAGTACCCAAGAAGAAAGAAAAGTGTTTGTTTTTTTTTTCCTTTTTCTTTTTTTCTTTAATGGAAACGTTATACAGTGACAGGGAAGCGTTTTAAAGTTTCAAAGAGGAACTAATGTGTACTTTAACTTAAAGACTGCTTTGGAAGAATTTGGATGAACGTACCATTATGTCAAGAGTTTGAAAGGCAGGAGTTTTGCGTGGTCCGCAACTGAGAAAGGAACACTAACTGAAATATGGAGCCTAACGCCAGCTTAAAACAAACTTTTTTTTTTTCCATGAAACTATACTCTTCTAAGATCAGTCATGTGGTACTATATCATAATTCAGACTGAATTTAAATGTGTCATGGATAGTTAAAATATGGTTATTTATGCAATATTATGAAGACAAGCATGTATTATATGAAAGACTAGAACTATGTAAAAGAGAAAGTTGGACTTTGATAATGGCTTATGCACTATGCTTTCTTGAAGGGACTCTTAAGAAATTATTCTAGCCTCTTCTGTTACTGTGCTAGTTCTGTATGGATAGCATGATAAAGGGAAACATGGCAAAGGGAAATCCCTTTTTGCCAACAGCAGATCTGTTTAGCAAAATGGACTATATTTATTTATTCAAATGCCTTTTGAAGCTACCTCTCTTAGATAGCCAGTTAGGGTCAGATCTGAGACCAAAAATGTCTTGTAAAACTCTAAAAGGGTCCCTAATTGATTTCTAAAGTGAAGAAATAAAAAAGGCTGGGAGTATAGGAAAGAATGTAATATACTTGGAGTAGACTTAGCTTGTATGTGAAGACAAAGGAGAAATCAGGGGAGCAAGATTCCTCTAACGGCACAAATCTTTAACTCCTGCCGTTTTGTTCAAAGACATCGCCTGTCGTCGAGGCTGCACTGTTCATTGCTATCCATACTCTTTTTAGTGTTTTTGCTGTCTCTAATTTTGTTTTTGTGCAATATTTTACTGTTTTCTTCCTCAGGTCATTTAGAACAGTGAGATTTTTTGTTGCTGCTAAGGATGGAGGCACAGTGCTACTCTGCACTGCCTTCATGTCAA